AAGCAGGAATGTGAAGTTATGTTCTTGAACACTCCTCCTCTGGAATTCTACATTGGCTGTTTCTCTGCAGGCATCAAAACTGAGAGGAAAAATATTCCTGTCAGGGAAAATGGGAGTAGGGTGAGGGGAGCAGCAAAGTGGAGAGTGGACTGCTTCAGTAAGTGTGCTAACCTTGAATTATGCAATCGGAAAAACAGCTCTTGCCAAAACGCGGCTCTAACGGAGTTCAGAGTGCCGGCAGAGTTTGCCAAATACCCCAGCCAAAAGGATGTCTCAAGGAGGGGGAGGAGGGATCCACTGCCATATGCCCAGCATTCACAGTATTCTGGAAGGGCTGTGGGGTCCCTCTGGAATGTAGGTGTGTGAATGGTCTCAGGTGCAGCCTGAGCACTGGTACCATGAACTGGTACGAGATGGAAGCAGCGAGGGCAGAGGGCAGTAGGCAAATCTATCAGGATGTTTTTATTTCTCAAACATTCCAAGGTTTTGCTTCACTTTTATGTAGTAGTGGGAGGAGTTCTGGCAAACAGGATCAGGCTGTTCTACATATGTTTTGACTCTTCTTGTTTTATGTTTCTTCTATGAAAGAGACTGCAACCAAGTTCTTGTCATTTTTAGATCAGTGTTTTGTTAAACTACGACAGCTATCCATGACAGAGAGCCAAGTAACTTTTGCAGCTGACCACAAAACTGAGTCTGACTTGTGGTGCTTAGTCATTTTTTATATATTTTTTTTTACATGACATATTCCATGTGTGTATGTGGTTTTGTTCTTTTAAATATAATTAGAGCATTTCTGGGAGTTGTGGTACAAATCCGTCTTCTTTGGCAGGTTAATTTCTTTGATTAATAAAGGTTTAGAAACTTCTCATCACATTGTGGCTATTGATGAAGCCTCTCTGGTTATACTTTGAACAATTGGACTATTTTGAGATTGAATGCTCTCTGCAGTATTATCTTCTCTGGTTTACCCATTAGAATTTTAAATGATCCAGTCAACAGGGCTCTTGCTGCCTCTGCAGAGAGTCTCTCCTACAATCCAATAGAAATTATTATAAGGAAACTCTTCATAAAGAAAGAAGATATTTATAAAATGGCTTTCAGCCTTCTGGGGTCTGAAACAAAATCCAGAGATTTGGAATCACTTAATTGCAAGAGATGGCTATGTTTCTTCTCCTGGAAGGACAGGAGTGCTCCTTGCTGGTTTTTTTTGCTGCTTTGTGCTGTCTAATTTTTAGAATTGCCTGTCTCACAAGCAATTCTCCACACCTCTTTCCTGGGTTTGGACCAATCTTGCCTGTTGCTCCCAACAGTATTAGTTCTAGGCTGCAGTAGATGCCACCTGGTATTTTTCATAGGATGAATAGCATTTCATACCTGAAACAAAGGGATGTTCTGCTGGACCCAACATACTTGTACCCATCAGTTGTCACTGGCTGGGGCCTCATCTTGCTACTGTTTAAATAGCTAATCCAACACAGCAGAGTGGTGGCAGTTTTGGGAATGTGTAATTTGATTTTGAATTATGATAATGATGATAAATAGATCCTGGTTTTGTATAAATTTCAAATCATTGTGGATTTCTTGTCTGAAGTTATTATGTAGATTCCCTGTCTGTTGTGGGTTGGGGCCTGCAGTTGGAACTGGTTGATCTTTAAGGTCCCTTCCAACCCAAACCATTCTGTGATCCTATGATTCTGTGAGGGGAGGCCAGGATGGCAATATCAGCTGGGTGCCAGTTTATTTGGGGTCAGAGAAGAAAAAATCTTCTCCTTTGTTTCTTTGGGGATTCCATAAATACTTGCCCATAAACTGAAAGACTCTGTAGAAAAGGTAAATAGGTTGTTTCCATCAAATGAAGAGCAGGAAGTCCTCAACTGAATGCTCTCAAGCAAAGCAACATGGGATTCCTGCTTAAGCTGTTTCAAACATTTAATGATTGTAAAAGTGTTTCTCTTTGTGTCAAGATGATGTCAGACTTTTCATCCTGCCAGGGTGTTGCTGATCTCTTTCTGCTCTCCATTTTGTTTGGGGTTTAAAGGGGGGCAGTTGGGTGGTTTGGATTTTTTTTAATGGCTTGAGGTAGAAGATATCTTAAAGATCATCGACCTCCAAATTCCCTGCCAAGGGCAAGGACACCTTCCACTAGACCAGGTTGCTCAGAGCCCCATCCAGCCTAGCCTTGAACAATTCCAGGAATATGACTTCTGTGGGCAGCATGATCCAGAGCCTCACCACACTCAGAGCAAAGAATTTGTCCCTAACATTGAATCTAAATCTACTGTCTTTCAGTGTGCAGCCATTGCCCTTGTCTTGTCACTCCAGACTCTTGTGAATAGTCTCTCTCTCTCCATCTTTCTCATCAGCTCCCTTCAGGTACTGAAAGGCCACAATTGGATCACCCTAAAACCTTCTCTTTTCCAGGCTGAACAACCCCAACTCTCATAGCCTTTCCTCTTAGGACATGTGCTGTTGCAGAGGCTCAGGCAAGAGCAGGCCTTAGACTTTTTAAACTTAAAACATTTCTGAACATTAACACAGAAAAGTACAGCTGGCGGCTTTGATCCTCTGTTTCAAGAGCAATGTCATGCAGAAGTTCTTTTTAGCTGCCATTTTATCACTGGTGGTAGAGTTACACGTTTAAGTAGCAAGGAGTAAATTTTCACCGTGTTAAAAGGATGGTTTCAGTGCTCATCATGTTACAGTTCTCCAGAGAACCACCTCCCTGCACGGGGCTGCACAGAGCAGCCCGGGAGCTCCACGCTCATCTGGCATTCCTTCACGGCCCCTCTTCCATCACACCCCTGCTCCCTCACTGCATCCAGCGTGGCTGTACCCCAAAATGCTAAACTCTGCCCAAGATGGAGTGTGGCAGAGCATCTGTGGGCTTGTTAAGTCAGGCTCTGATGAACCTGGAGTGTGCCTTGCAGGCGGCATTCCAGAGTGTGCACTGACCTCGGGACTCAATCAGATCATGTCAGTGGAGCATGGGTGGGAATGGAACTGCCTCTGACTCCAAGAGCTGCACTTACAGCCTAAAGAAGCTGTTAAGCCCATGCTCTTTGTGCTCTCAGCTCTGTTTTTCTAAGAGGTTTACACATGCTTCAAAAAATATCTGCAGCAAAGTAACTTCTTTCCCCCATAATATACCCAACAAGAGAAAATGCTCTTTTACATTTTAGCTTGGTGGCAGTGTTTTAAAATGATTCCTGACACAAAAATTTTTGAACTCTAGCACTACGAAGTTGACAGTAAATAGGCTTTTTTTTTCCTGAGGAAAGAATGTTGACTTCCATTATATATCTGCAATTGATTTGGAAGAAATACAAAGTCAAGTTATTCCTGACTTTTTGACTTTGACAGGCTGCTTTGGAAATGAGAGCTGAGTTAAAAACGGTGGATCAAAGAGTTTGGTAAAGCTAAATGCCTAAATAGTTCAGGTGCTTATTTGAGGCTTCCCCAAGCTTTCTGGACAGCAGACTGTGCCTGGTAGTGTTATGGAAGCCCTTCTGCTTGGGATAGGCTGAGTCTGTTGTGTGAGCTTTTCCTGCAAAAACCAAGAGGATAACTCATCTTGCATGCTCTCCGTGGTGAAGTGTCAGGGTACAGACAGAGCACCAGGAGTGTGAAAGGGATTCGTAGTGAAAATGAATGTGGGGAATAGGAAAGTTAACCTCATGTTCCCTAAACTCTGTGAGCATGCAAAATTGAGCAAATTAGCCTTGTTTCTAACTCTTCCGAGAAAAATCTTTGTGCAGTGACTTACATGAATTTGAACCAGTCTTTGAATTGCAGATGCAGGGACATCACTTCACAGGAAGCATTTCTGTATTCACAGTGTTCGCTTTTCTGTTTTCTTATGTAACGCAACCCAGTGACATTATTAGGCTATATGAAACAGTTGCCATGTGAAAACTGAAGTTTTTTTAGTTTATTGATCTTTTAAAGTCAACAGGAGTGGCATAGAGCAAGGAAACAGAAATCTTTTCTTTCAGGAACAAGCTCAAAAGAATGTTTTCAACTGGAGCCACTTCATTATCATGCCATATCATGTCATTTTCTTAGCTTTGCAAAAGGCACAGTGCCTGAGATTTTGAAATGTTAGTATTGCTTCCCTGAAAGATTTATTTTTAAACATATAATTGTCAGGAAGATAGAATGCTCATGAGTAAAAGTCATTGGGAAAACAAAAACAGTTGGAAAATGGAACACCTTTGTGTTTGTAAAGTCAAAGAATTTGGGGGAGGTGAGGTGTTTTGAAGAGAACATTGGAATTAATTGCCCTAGCATGTTGTTCTGGCAGTGTCTTTAGACACCACTGCAGCCTGACGGATTAATTGGCAGCACACACCAGCCTGTTGCAATCCAGGGTTCACAGTTAGTTCTGACCAGATGAATGATGGACGGGGTGTTAGTGCGGTTGGACAAAACAGTCTGGACAAGAACACAAGCTGCTGCCCAAGGATCACGCTTAAATTCAGGCTGAACCTTCCCCAAGGCCTGAATAAGTTTGAAATGTACGATGGGCTTTTTTTTGTTCTATGGGCTGCTTCCTAAAATACTGCTTTTTTTAAAAAGAGACAGAGCAAAGCCATCCATGTCTGCACTTTGATTGCAGGCTAGAAATAGAGTGAAACAATAAATATATTGCAAAAGAGCGTGTATTGCCTAAACTTCTAGGCTGGCTTTGCAGTCCCAGGAACATAGAGAGTTGAAGTATTCTTCAGATGTGCAGCCAATTTTATCATGCCTAACTAAGCCAATCTTTTCAACACTATGGAGTTTGCTTATCACTAACTAATAAGCAAGTTTTTAAAAGGACTTTATGGTAGAGTCTGTAACCATATCTCTTCCAGAAAAAACATTATTATTTATTCTTCAATACATGGTTCAGTAAACTGTTGTGAAGAGTTATTTAGCTTCCCTATTAACCTCCTAAATAACATAAAAAAATATTTAATTATTTTCCTGATCCAAATCCTGTCATCTTGCCCATATAGGACAAAACAACACTGGAGACCCTGACTCAGCAGCTGGCAGTAAAACAGAGTGAGGATGGGAAGTTCAGCCACGCAATGATGGATTTCAACATGAGTGGAGATTCTGACGGTCAGTACAAATGGCTTTTCCTTACTTCCAGGTTTGTGTGTGCGTATCAATGGGATCTGAGGGAGATTCCAAGTGCTTTGGAGGCCCATGAGGAATATGAGCTGTTAGTAAAACAAGTATGAAACAAGGCAGGAAGAAGTGATTCATTGTGGCGTGTTTTAAGTCTGGAGATGATTTTTAGCCTTCCCTCTGTCCACTGAAGGTCTCAGGATGGCACCAAAAATGTATTTATGATAATGAAAGGGACTAAAGAAGGCAAATATATGTGGGGTAAGTGAGATCACATAGGGAAGCCATGAAGTGTAAACCTGATCCTCCATAAATGCAGTGTGCTCTGCATCTGTGGGAGCTTTATTTGTTTGATGAAGTGAGCATAATGTTTATTTGTTTCTCTTCTATTGCATATATTGTTAAGGAGATGTAAGCACAAAAACAGGCAAGTATGTAAATACTCATTTGCTATTTAGAGAAATGCTTAAGAAGAAATGCCCAGTATTGCCATCACCCCCTTTTTGTCACAGAAAAGGTAGAAGATGGGTGACATAATATGACCAGTATTCTGTAAGCAAGAAAGGAAGAAAATAAAAAGTAAACCTGCAGTGATAAGTATATATTTGTTTTATGTAATTAAGCAGTAAAAGATGGCTTAGAAAAGCTGTTTAATTATTAGGTCTATACTATGTGATACTGAATTAATACAATAACTAAACCAGGCAATATACAATATATTAACCATTAACCTATTGTGAATACTGGCTCATTGAATATGCAGCACCTGACACAGGTTTCTGATGGCAGAAGAAGCTGCATACTGAAACCCAAGCTGGAAATGATTTCCTCTTACTTTTTAGGAAGTGCAGGAGTTTCAGAGTCTCGGATTTACCGGGAATCCCGAGGGCGTGGTAGCAATGAGCCCCACATCAAGCGCCCAATGAATGCGTTCATGGTGTGGGCTAAGGATGAACGGAGGAAGATCCTTCAAGCCTTCCCTGACATGCACAACTCCAACATCAGCAAGATACTAGGTAAGAATGATAGAGCACAGCTCTTCCAGAGCAAAGCTTGAAAATATTCTGGCTGAGTTTAGCTGGGCACCTGACAGAACAGAATTGCTTCTTTCTCTCTTGGTCTTTAGTCACTGCACCAAGAACAACAGGGATATGAGTTTCCCCTGTGCTGCCCAGCAGTGTGTATTAACCACAACCTGAGATATTCTTCTGTCTTTGTAATTATTGAGATTGTGGTGGTGATTTTGCTGTGCACAGAGAGATGGAGTAGCCTGTAGTTCCCAGGTTTCCTTTTTAAATATGAGGATTATATTTGTCCTTTTCCAGAGAGCAATAACTTCACCTGACTGCCACAGCTTCTCCAGTAGGATGAGCAGTGGCTTAGCCAGTTCCTCTGCCAGGTCCTGCAGATGCATCTCAGCAGGTCCCATGGATTTATGCACCTTCAGGTTCTTGAACCTGATCTTCTCCTACAGTGGGTGGTTCTTCATTCTTCCATATATTGAAAAGAATTTTTAAAGACCCCTGATTTCCATATTCTCTGCTTTCACATCCTGATTAATATTTGCCATGAACATTTGTCTACTGAATCTCATGTCAAAGTCTTCCAACTTGTCACTGTTTGGTCAGATTCTCAGGACCATGTTCTGTCTAAAGTTCCTCCTCTGTGATGTGCTGGATGATGCAGTAGGTGACTAATGAGGCTCACTGAGGCCAGTGAATTACTTTTCGGCAGAAAAATAATACAGCTGCGACCAAATTGGAGACGCTGCATTTTTACTGATAAAAACAGCTACAGGACCTAAGCAGCCAGTGGCTAAGGAGGGAACATGTTTACCTGTGCTGCAGTTCTCACTGGTTTTGCAGGCTGCTCAAGAGATGTAGTGCAGTTATAATGGCAGCATTAACCAGTTGCAGGGCTGGTAAATCTGCCAAGTTTAGAGGTCAGAGGTTTAAGGCTTACCTTGATAAGAGTAGTATTATGAAAAGTTAGCGGGGGCAAGTGGAAATGAGATAAATTGGTTGGAGAAGCAAAACGTATTGCCATGGATGGCAGATGTGATGATATTAACCCCTGATTTAAAGGGTGGCACGAGATGATTAGATTAGTTATGGGAACAGAATTAGAAGGCTAAATTGGTTATGTTGACGGCAATATAACCTTATACTGGTTAAAAGTGATTATATTGGTCAGAGGTGTATGATGTGATTAGCTGGAGGACAGGGCAGTAATAGTTTTGGTCTGTTCCTAAATTGAGAGTAGACCTGGTTAAACCTGTTTTTAAGTAATCAGCTTCAGAAATCAACAAGATCATTCTGAATGGCCCTTTTCATATAGAAAGTACAAAGAGAGCTTGATGTTTTCCCTCTTAACTGATTGTTTTGGATAACAACCTCCGACAGCACGCTGCTAATTCATTCTGCTTAAAACAGGCGCTTGAGCTGGGCTGACATTTTACGCAGTCTCTGGGGATCCTGGTTGACATTTTAAAGGGCTTCTAAGCATTTTATAATACCCTAAAATCTGGTTTTAATAAGGCATTCTGCTGAAATTGTTAACATAAGGAATCACCTTTTACTATTTGGCGCTAGATCAGGGAGATATGGAGACATCTTTTTCTGATTAGATATACAGTAGTTGGAGTAAAATGTGCAAATTCATTACAGATCCTGTTGAGGTGACAGACAGTATAGCTGACTCCAAACTCTCTGTTTTGCTGCCAGATATGGGGAAAAGCAAGGTCTGAGACAGTGAAAGATGATGTTTCTGTTTCTTTACAGCATTACTTTTGATTTTTTTTTTTCATTCTACATGTGCAATAGAGAGGGATGTCCTGGAATCTTCCTTCTTGACAGAAACATTACAAAGTTCTTCCCTTAGCTGCAAAAGGCCAGTCTTTTGAAGTCAGCAGGGAGCTCTCTGTTAACTGGTGTAGGGTGACCAATTAGAAGCTCACAGTTCAGCCAGGTATTAGGGTGTCCTTATTAGAAAGCCACGATTTTTCCTTCCCATTTTTCCAGCAGCACTGCTACACACTGAGGTCAGAGAGCTTGTTGTCACGCAGAGTAACTTAGAGTTCTCACCAATCGAGGGTCATTTTTATAGTAAAATGAGAGGAGGTGCCCTTCCCAGCACTAGAATTCTCTAGGGATTATGTTTGACACTGTGGTATTATGTCTTGAGCATAAAAATTAGATACATGGATTTGTCACTAAATTCATCTGTGCATACGTTTGTCATCCATCTGTTCATTGCAACTTAAACTTGTGGATAATGGTTTTTTTAGTAAATTGTTAAAAAAGTGCTAAAACGGGACTGCTGGACTCCTTCAATTTAATAATGCATTGTTTAGATATTTCAGTAAATATTTTAATTAATTTCACTGAGAAATCTATGTAAAATTTTAGGAAAAAATGAAGCTAATTACTAGCTTCAGAAATTCTCTTGGATTGTATATGTGTGCTTATACAAATATATGCACATACCTATACATTATATAAGTGTTCATCTATGTGACAATGTTTCTTAAACATAAGATCAGCCTGATTCAGGTACTCAGATTGAAAAATGTCAGTCTAATGGACTGAAAGTTAGAATATTGCAAACAGCTGAAAATCCTTGTCAGAGAAACTTCACTTAGAATCAGCAGTAAGCAGAGCTCTGAACATTGCACGTGTGTGCCTGGAGCACAAGTGTCTGGGCATGGATGAGTGCATCCCTTTTCTGCCCTGGACTCAAAGATTTGCCCTCTGCAGATGTGTTCACAGTCACACACAGCCATGTGGGCACAGCTCTGACAACCCTGGCTCAGTTTAGGGGCAGGAGCTGTGCTTGGTGCTGCAAAGTCTCTGAACGTGGTTTTTTCTTCCTAAATACTTCAGCCACCACATCAGGGAGAATTGTACTGGAATCCTGCTTGTCATTTTGCATGCATCCAGGGAGGAGAATGGGCTGTTGTTTTCATAGTCAAGGAGAAAAGCCACGCATACTTGACCCACTCAAAGCTTTCCAACACAGATGGTGAGCAGGAAGCTCACTCAAGACTGGAAATCTTCCCTTAAAAAGAAAAGGTTTCTCTAGTTCCTGCAATCACACCGTGTTTGGGCTTGGGTTTGGCACTGTGCTTAGGTACCCATGCCTGCCTGTGTGTGTTTATAGGTATATAAAACAATGACAAATAAAGCTATTGCAAGTATATTTTGTCCAAATATAAGGTATTTTTTAAAAGTTTTAATATGTTGATTGATGATACTCATTCATAGATTACCCCATGGGTGGAAATTCCAAGATCAGAGTTACATATCCTTCAAAATTTGCGATGAAGACTGTTCAGAGAATTGATTGGATTATGTAAATTACTAAGAAAAAAAGTGAAAATTGTCAAATGTAAAGAACAATGGTTTATCATCAGAAAGTGTGCCCTTTTTAAAAATCTATTTTGACAGCATTGTTTCTTTAATTATGTATGATACTTCAAAACATACTAGTAAATTATATTTAGTATGTTTTGTAAAAACAGTAAAGTCACAGTAAGAGGACGTATCACTGCAGAAGGCACCGATTAAAAATTTGCTAGGAAGAGAGGTGAAACTCTCAGGATTTTTGTTATATTTGAGTGTGCAGGCTCAGGAAGAAAAAATATAATGGCATTTATGTATAAATAATGTATGTGTAACTGTATGTACAGATATTATGCATCAAAATTTCATGTTTTATGGCCCTGATGCTGCAAAGGCTTCTGTTGTTTGCCTGACTTTACCCACTACTTCTTGTCACATGGAGGGGTAGGAATCTGCCTGCCCAGATCTGACTGAAGGTTTGTAGCAAGTGAACTGGCACAGCAGAAGAGAAACTGTGCTGGGATAGAGCATTTTCATGGTAATTTTGTGAGAGGTGACTTTAATTTCTACCTTTTCTGTGCATCTGTCTGTCTCAAAATATGTGTGAGTCCCTACGTTGCAGATCCCTTCACAGCATATAAAGCAAATGTCAAGATTTGTTTAAAGACTGAGGTTTTCAACTTTTCTATTCATAAAAAAACTGATGCAGCATCAGGAAAAGGGGCTGGGGCTGTTTTCCTAGGCCGTTAGGACTTCAGCAGGTCTGGGATTAGGCAACTCTAGATTTAGGCTAATTCTTAATATTTTCCTTGCTGAAACACCAGTGTGTCAGTGCCTACGTGCAAAATTTGAAAGCACACCCACATCTGGGCATCTTCCAGAGCTCATCTGCTTTACCTGAATTCTTAACATTGTTCAACACAGGTCCAAGCTGTATTTCCATCTTACACAGCATTAGTTGGTGTGCAGTGTTTTGACAGTCATGTGTTTATCACTGTGTCATTCATCCCCAAATCCAGGAGGTACTACGCGCAGAAAGTCAGTGTCATTTTTCTAGCTAGTCTCTTTTCCTGAAAAAGCTTGGAAGAATTTCTCTGCAGGAGACAAAGCTGCTGAGCAGGATTCTGGTCACTGGGGTGCTGCCCTTATGTAACACAGAGCTCTGCCACAAATCCCCACTACCTCTCTGTGGTATAAGAAGTGACATGCAGGACTTTCAGTCTAAACCCTAGAAGCCAGCTAGCCATGCAGTTATGGTGCTGGGCCTAAGCTAATAACAATGTCCTTAAACTCTTTCCCATTCCAGGACTGGCTGGGGGATGTCTGTATGCTGTGTGTTGTAAACACCATGAAAAATTATGGTTTTGACTTCAAAGCAATGTTTGTTAAGAAAGGCATGCCCCTTGCCCCTTTTCAGGACAAAGACATCATTGTTTTTGCATTGCTTATCTCTGGATGTGACATCAGGTGGTACCAGCTCTTCTCTCCAGAAGCCCAGACTGCAACATGGAATAAAGTTTCAAAGATAGAGGAAATGGTGTCAATAATCAGAAGGGGCCTTTCTATAGGGAATGAAATTGTTTTCTTTCCTGGGGAAAGGATAACTGTGCTCTCTCTACTGCGAGTCTTGGGGGTACAGTGGGATAAGACCAGGCTGAGTAATAGCATGAGCTAACCATAAAAAATCAGGAACAAGAGGAAGTCAAGTATGACATATGACATTATGAACCCATTAAATTGAGAAAGTATTCAAACACTTTTCCAGTGGGAAACTTGACTATTTTCCAATAAAGTTTTCTTTCTAGGCCACAGGTTTCACAGCTTGAACTATTCCTGTTATTTGAAATGTATCTTACCCTGAAGCACTTCTATATTTAATGGAAAAATAAAATTGGGCAACTGACTCAAGAACTTTTACTTTCTGCTCCCATATTATTCCCTTTAAGAAATATTAGTTTATAACTTTCATCAGGCATTTGAAAACAACTTTGAAGTCTTTACTATATCCCTATCTCAAATACCCACGTTAACATAGGCAGAAAACAAGGCTGCCAGCAATGAAGCCATAGTGCAACTCCGGGGAGAAATGTGCCAGTACCCCAGTGCTTTTCCCTTCATGACACAGTAAATTCTTTACGTTGGAGCTGGCAGTGTTTTCCAGGACTTGGTCTTGGAGTTAAAACCCCACTGACACATATGGGATAGTTTATAGCTTTTAGAGGCATTGCTTTAGGGTCTTTGCAGGCTCCTGTACCTACCTGACTGCAGAGCATTTACAGTCAGTTCTTATTCTGCTTCTCACCAACCTGGGAGCCAGAAAGACCTGGTGTTTGTCAGGAATGATTAAGCTGTGGACATGTGCATATCTGATCCTTGATCCAGCCATGGATCCCAGTGAGCAGACAGCACCACATGGAGTGGAGCCTTCTCTGAACAGGAGGTGTAAACAGGCACGTAGGCAAGGGACAGTGTGGGGACACAGCAGAGCACTCTGTGTGTCCATTCCTCCAAAATTTACTGCTTTGTTTCCTGAAACAAAGTGCCAGGGGTTGCCCATTATCAGGGTAATGGTTTTACTGCCCACCTGAATGGCCTTATAAGGTAGATAAATTGCAGTGAAATATTGAGTCAAAATTTCCAGTGCCATCTCTCTCTGCATCTTGGCCATACCCAAGGGGTTTATGAGTCAAATACAAACAAGACCAGAACCCTGTCTGGAAGCTCTGACAGATTCCCAGCCCAAAGCAAAATGGCCTTAGGTGTCTTGTTCTGGGTGACCTACTTGTTTCTCTGCCTTGCAGTGTTTGGGGATGAGTAGCATCTCATCTTTTTTTTTCCTTTTTGTTTTGTTTTGTTTTGTTTTGTTTGTTTTTTGTTTTTTTGGTGACAGGATCTCGCTGGAAAGCTATGACAAACCTAGAGAAGCAGCCATACTATGAGGAGCAGGCCCGGCTCAGCAAACAGCACCTGGAGAAATACCCAGACTACAAATACAAGCCCAGGCCGAAGCGTACCTGCCTTGTAGATGGCAAAAAGCTACGCATTGGCGAGTACAAGGCCATCATGCGCAACAGACGCCAGGAGATGAGGCAGTACTTTAATGTTGGGTATGGGACCTTTCAAAACTACTGCTCGTTCCATCAGAAACAAACAAAACAAAAGAAGTAAAAAATCAGGGAGAATTCTAAATTCTTAATTGTAGTTTATTGGCAAGAACGTGCGATATTGCGAATAGAAAATGAGAGTTATAGTTGATGACAAAGTGTTCCAGGAGAAAGTTAGGCAGTTTTAGGGATCTTTTTGTTGGCTCTGTTTTATGCTCATCTTAACGCTTCAGCCAACTGTCTCATTTCCACTCTGATAATGAAAAAAAAGGCTTTAAGATTTTCTAAAGAAAAGTAAGTCTTCTTGTAAAGCCTTATAACTATTATGAGGCCTCAGAAAGAATATCTGAATGAATCTGTGGTAGTGCCTCTTGACCCAAAAGCCAAAAATAGAAGTTTGCATTCAGTATGATCTGTGGCAAGTGGTCTGCAAAAAGACTGCTGAACACACTGAACTTGAGCTGGAATATGGACGTGGCTCAGTTGATTCATATAAAGCTGTATTCATATCATGTGTACATTGTTCATTTGCCCTTCCAGGGAGTGTCTTACAGTCCAGCAAGTTAAATGCTTTCTGTTGAAAGAAATTTTAAGAAATTTTAAGACCAGTTCTGATAAACAGCTAATAGATCAGTTTGATATGATTAGAATAAAATATGCCTAGAAGACTAGCATATATTTTCCTTCTGCAGATATTTCTTGGTGTTGGTTACAGCAGATTCAAAAGAATCAGAAGTAATCAAATATTCCACAATATTTCTGTATTCACTTGAGAAAATTAAAAGCTACACAGGGATCCTAAAAAAGGGCAAAACCAGCAACAAGAGCGACCTTCTGAAATTATGGAATTTGTGTTCTGTTTCATCTTAATTTGGAATCCTTTCAGTATTAACTGGGTTGCACATCTCTTTAGTTAATGGCTAGAAGTAGCAATAAAGGAGAGAACATCTATCCAGTGACTGTGAAGTGTCATCAGGCTGTGTTTTAAACAGCTACAGTGTGCATTGTTAGAGTAAGCCGCTCAGCAGAGAAATTTGAGCTGCTTAACCCTGTGGTGCTGGCAGGTCCAGTGATCCCAGTGGTAAGCACTGAAACAAACACAGGGAAGTCAGCCAACATTTGGCATCAAGAGATTAAAAAAAAAAGGAGGGGGCCTTATGGAAAAAGAATAGGTGGCAACAGAGCCCCCAAAACACTGCTTATCTGGTTAATATGCATGCCTCATCATGGGAAAAAAAATTAACCTTGTAACATTCTGCCTACAGAAATTCAGCTTTCCAAACAAGGCTGACATTGAAATCAAGACATTTCTGGAGGTAATTTGCACTGAGGCACCAGAGCACAGAACCTGGGGTGAAACCTTTATGGAAGCAGCTGACAGAGTGGCCAGTGGCTGCAGTGGGGCCAGTGTGTGATGTCACCAGTCACAGCACTGCAGTTGCATTCCTGGTCTAAATTTCCCATCTGTTGCAGCCACCAGTACAGGTCATTTAGGGCTAAACTGCTAAACACCAGCCCAGCTCCTGCCTGGGCACCACAGTAAGTTTTTGGTTTAACAGGAGCTGTGGCTGTGCTGGAGGCATCACAGTGGGAATTTTTTAATGTTCCCTATTTCAGTGTCCTCATCTTCAGTGGTGGCGAGCGTGGCCTGCTGAGAGCCCTAATACATTACTATCTGAGGACTGCTGCAAGGTCCTCTAGGCTGGACATTCCATAGAAGTGGAAAAATACTACTCTTAAATTATTTAATATTTGAAAAGCACTCTGAAAAGCACCATTTAAGTGCAAAGTGTTCCTATTGTTAAATATTAAAACCTATTTAAGTGTGCTGAATGTTGTTGCAGAGATGCTGACTCCAGAAAACAAAAGCCTTCCTACTGAATTAAGAATAAAATGCAAATTAGATCTGCTCCCTACTTTAAGAGCTGTATCTGCAGCTGAGACAACTTGAGTTGTTTCAGAAACACGGAAATAAGGGCTCTGTGGAGGGAGGCCTTGCTCAGATGGCAGGCAGGAAGTATCTGAAAATGCAGCAAGCAATTCCAAACGAGTATAAAGCTGTTTGGCAGAGGAAAGTCTTTCAGGATCACTGTACTGTGTGAGGCTTACTGTGCAGCCAGGGCACAGGCAGGCAGGGGAACAGGGAAGGGTTTCATTCTTAATTAAGAATGTTCATCTCAAGAGACTCTGCCTTGTCTCCTGTGGCAAGGCTTTTCAGTGCAGATGGACACACCGCTGATGACATTACAATGTGCAGCATGTACTGAAGAGAATTACTGCAATGGAATTACTTCATGCAGGAAGGAAACAAAAGGAGCATGAATTTTAAACCTCTAGGCTTGTTGGGACTCTGAAGCTTCTCAGGGAAACAAACACTAGTATAACACAGCTAGTGTTCTTGATGCAAAGTGAATTTCTGTATCCTGGAATAATTCTTCTTTCATTACTGCAGACAGGTTTCCAAGGCTTAGATGCTGTATAAAGGCATCCTGTAGAAGATTTTCTCAAATGCTCAGGTTGTTTCCTTGCTTTTTATTAATTTATAAATAATGCCCACTTCTGTTTTAAGTCTGCCTTTTCCCAGTTTTGTCCACTGTCCTTGGAAAAATTTGCTATTCACTGCTGCTCCCAATGGAAATTCTCCCCTTCTGGTGGGAAGCCTTTAGTGATCCATCCTATAAACTCATGTTGGCTCCAGAAGGCCCACTGTTCCTCTTCATAGCAATGACCAGGTCCCTGATGTGGAGTAAGCATTGTCTCTGATTTCTCCTCATCCCGTGGCATTTTCCTGCAGCATCTTCCCATTCCTGTGCAATTTACCTAGACCTTGCTGCATCTCTCCTATTGGAAATTTATGTCTAGTTACTGTGACTTTTATGTCCAGTCCTGATAGCAGATTGGATTTTTTAAAACTAAGATTTTCAAAGTATAAGGGTTTTAAGTTGGACCACAGTTGACAAGAATGTTTATTTTTGGCTGGCACCAAGCAGATCCAGAAAAGAACTTTCCCTCACAAGCAGGCAAGCTGAAGCTGTGTAGTTCAGGTAGGGCTAGAGGTGTTTACAGAGGTTTTCTTATCAGTAAGGAACTGATTTGGGTTTTATGCTCATTTGTGGAGCTCATTTGCTCATATGCTCATTTGGTGAGTTTTGAATATTGATATAAGAATTCCTCTGCATGCTGCCGAACTTACCTTCCTTTTATTCCACGCAGCATTCCAACATCCCTTTCCTCTCTTCTTCCTGCCAGGCAACAAGCACAGATCCCCATTGCCACGGCGGGTGTAGTGTACCCAGGAGCCATTGCCATGGCGGGAATGCCTTCCCCACACCTGCCCTCGGAGCACTCGAGCGTGTCCAGCAGCCCAGAGCCCGGCATGCCCGTCATCCAGAGCACTTACGGGGTCAAGGGCGAGGAGCCGCACATCAAGGAGGAGATGCAGCCCGACGACGTCAACGGAGAGATCTACGATGAGTACGATGAGGAGGAGGACGACCCCGATGCAGACTATGGCAGTGACAGTGAAAACCACATTGCGGGGCAAGCCAACTGATCGGGGTCCCAATGTCTCGTGACCTGCAGGACTTCAAGGAGAAAAGAAAAAATAAAATAAATAAATAAAGCCCCATCTGGTTTATCCTTGCCAGTGGCCAAGCACATTAACTTTCTCATACACTGACTGTTACTTTAACTGTTAGTCTTAAATAGTTGGGACATCAGCTGACTAATAGACATCAGCCTGCATCAGAAGAAAAAAGGCTCAGAAGAAAGGAAACAAAGACAACGACAACAACAACAGAATGATATAAGCTATGGGTAAAATAATGCCAGTAATTCAGCTGCTATACCCAAGCACTGAAGTCTTACCCGTCGACCTTTTATTATTATTATTTTTTTTTCAAATAAACTTTATGGCTGTTTGTTCTACAATGTTCTAGAAATTCTCACTCAGGTACACAGTGCCAACAAGTGGCTTGTGAATGTGTTTTGTTGTTTTGTGCTACAGTTTAAAGAGAAATAATTTTTTTTTTTTTGGTAATGCACCTGACAGGAAAAAAAAAAGATAAAATTCCTTTTAACCCCCTCTGTCTCCTCCTCCTCCTCCTCTTCTTCCTCTTCCTCCTCCTTCTCCTCCTCCTCCCTGTCAAATCTGGGTCAGAAGTGTGTGTGTGTGCGTGCCTGCGCGCGTGGCTGGCAAGGAAGGAAGTGGGGAGTCTTTCTGTTAACCCCAACAAGCATTTCATTTCAAGAGATGACTTCTCTTCATCAGTTGCACACCATACTGAGTCTTTGAGCAAGTGCCAAATTTGTACTAAAGCGCTGAACTAGTCCAATTTGCTTTTTTTTAGGTTGGTCTCTTCTTGTTTTGTTTTTCTTTGGCTTTTCATTTGCTTCTTGCTCTGTCTTAAGTTAGGACAGTGTTATATCTTAGACAATCCCTTGAAGAACCTGATATACCAGCAGCTGGTGAGATTAGACATATATTTTTGGTTTTGCTTTTGCTTTTTAAAGGAAACTGTAGGTGCTGTTCTCAGGTGAAAAAAAAGAGAGAGAGAGAGACACATAAGAAATTTAGAGAAAAAATATTTTATGGTCTTGGATTTTCATGTGTGCGTGTTTATGGTACTGATAAGAATAATCTTGGACTATCGTGAGCAAAAAGCATGTTCCAGAATGAAGTCCTGCACCCTCCAAATGACTTGGTCTGTAAGAAACCTTTACTTTTCGTTTACACTTCAAGTGGCAGCATAAACATAAAAAAGGCTTGTCCAAAATGTGGTTTGTTCTGCATGGGACACAGCAGCTGGAAATGTTACCTCCTTGCTGAGCATAATTAAGTTACCACCAACCGAGTCCAGTTCTGATGAACTCGTACCTTCAGGGTGGTTGAGTACCAATTTCTAATTCAAACGGCAATTTTTTTTAACTGACTTTTTTTTCTTCTGTGTACTGGCGGAAATCTGTCTTTTATCAGTGAGATGTTTGTGTAGGAAGGAAGGCTAATAGCTATGAAGAGATTTCCATATTCAAAGGGAGGTTGGAAGAACTCAAACCATTGCAGTGCTGAATTTCCCTCGCTGCTGCCTCTCACAATTGAAAAAATTATTCTCCTGTGCTAAAATATTTCCAGTGTTGTTGTAGAGCACTTATTTACCTATTTCTTGGGCAGTTTTGTCTTCCTTGGTCAACCACAATCAGATGAGGAAGCTTGTCTGGGAGCTGCTCTGTGCCCTGGAAAGGAAGGTCTTGGGGTCCTGCTGAAGCAAAAACCTTCCTCTGAATTCATTTTTTGACTGACGATGCCAACTTTATGTTGCTTCCTAGTAAATTCCTACTCCCAGAGGGAGACACATTGCTGTTGTTATCACCTCTAACTTGTGAAATTGGCCCATGCATCTTAGTGGCAGTGAGATCCTAGCCCAAGCACTCACCAGAACCCTGTCACCACTATTTGGCAGCATTGGTTTTGCAAACAGTTCCTTAATCAGGCAAACTCGGCCCTTGATGCCAGGTGCAGGATGAACAGGACAGGTAGGAAGTGGGGGGAATGCCTTTCTTTGCCCCTTGAAATCCCACTTGAATTGTAACTTGACCTCTGCAGACCTTGTGCAAAGCAAAAAGCAAATGCCATTGAAGACTTAGGACAATACTCCAATGAGTGTGGACATGTGATAGTTTTACTCTGCTACATCTCTTTTCTTTTTCTTCTGTTTTCTCTGTTTTGATTTCCACCTCTGCTTTGAAAACTTATTTTCTATTTTCTCTCTCTCAGAAGATTTGCTCTGAAATTATGCTTGGAGTAGCTGATCATATCCTCCATATCAGAGAGGGTTCTTTTTTGTTTGTATTTTATGACTGTGTTGGGGTTGTTTTTTTTTTCAGTTGAACTGCCTCTTCTTGCTAGTGTTGAATGGTAATTATAATAATAATAATAATAATGGTCAGCTGTTCCCAGATTAGTAAATTATGTATAATTTATTTACACCTCCCCTTTTTTAACTTTATTTTATTCTGTTCTAATTTGGCAGTGCAGCAAATGAAGCTGTTAGGCTATTTAAAATGGATACCCCTCCCCACCTTACCTTTTTATATATATATAAATATATATATATACATATGAAAACAAATTGCTTCTTCTTCTGCTCACACCATTTCTCTTTCTTTTATTTTAATTTTGGCCCCAGCCATGTCAACTTCTGATGTTTATTATGATGGAGTGAATTAATGGGAGTGTTGTTTTCAATCTTAATTAACTTCTGCTCTCTCATCACTCATTTTAGTTATTTAATTACACCAGTCATCTAGAGCCAATTTTTTAAAAGCACTCTGTTTGGATAAGAAGGAAAAAAAATAGACAATTGTTTTTATATCATTATTATGTACAATGTGAAAACAGATATTTGCTCCTTTTTATTTTATTTTTTTTTAACTTCTAAATTTGTTCCCTGTCTTTGTGAACAAATTACTTCTGACTCTTGTGGGTTCACCTCACATTTGCTGGATGATTTCCACCACGGTTTAGAGACTCTCTGGTTTAATTGTGTCACTTCGGGCTACCGGAATACTTTGTTTTAGCTCCAGGTAGGTGCCACTGTGGCAGGCGGGATTGGAGCAAGTCTTGGAGGCATGGGCTGGGAAAGCTCAGTGGCAAGGGGGCCCTTGGACTTGGTTGGGACCAGGTTCCAGTGCTGAGTTCTGTGGGAGCTGCTCCTGGAGGCAGCCTGGTGTGTTGGGCACGGTGGGACCGTGCCCTTCTCCAGGATCCCCGTGCTCTTCACACCAGCTCCTGCAGGGCTCAGCTGAACCGGCTGGTTTTGTCCCATACACATTCCTTCGGAGAGACTGTACCCCAGCCTAGCCTTCCCTCCCTCGGGCTTTGGGAATGGGTTGCTTTAGCAGACTGTCCACCTCCTCTACATTTGGGATGTTGAAACCGATGCAGAAATGTTAAAAAAAAAAAAAAAAAAAGAAAAAAAAAGAAAAAAGGCCAAAAGATGAAAACATAAATTAAAAAAAAATTACTCTTCGGTTCCCAACCAGCAAAATACTTAATTCCCGTGCTAATGTTTTCGTAGGTCCAAGGATGAGCACCCATATATCCTTCAGCAGTAGAAGACCAGATTTGAAAATAGGGTACTGTTTGTCCCTCTTGAATTTTCTGGGGGAAAAAAAAAAAAAACAAAAAAAAAAAAAAAAAAAGCAAAACGTGCATTTATAAAAATTATCTTCTTGTCTTGTTTCTTTTTTTTTTTCCTGGGTTCTGTGCCCTGGAGCATGTAGAAAAAACAGGTTAGAAGAGATTAGGATTTATTAACCTAAAAGCTCATTGAGGCCCTAATGCCAAGGCAGGCTCTGTTCCCCTCTTCCCTGGGATCCTGGCGAGCCAGGATGCTCCTGGGGAGCTGCCTGGGGTGGGGTGTGCTGGCCACCTCCTCCTGAATGGGGGAAGCCACCATGCATCTTGTGAGCTTGAGAAAGAACATTGCCAGGAGTGGGGAAAAGGGGAAAAGAATGGAAAAAAACTGAGGCACTTGCTTCTAAGCTCAATTAAATAACACAGAGTATATCCTTTTTTCCATTTATTCATGCCTTATATTAGTAAAATAGGATTTTTAAGTGCATTTAACATCTTTATCTAACCGTTCCGCTATATTAATCAGGCCCCCAGAAAAGAACACTAGCTATTATTATAGCATTTAATTAGTTTTGTAACCAAATCCTCTTATTATGAATGCATATGGAAGAAATTCTTTCTTCGAAGACATTATTTCAAAGATTTGGTTACTGCAGTAGACTGTCTTTAATTAAATCATTTTTTAGAAAGTAAATTGTCTTTAACCTTTTTACAGCACATTTTCAGAGCTTTTTCTTTTTAATCCAAAGAGATGAGCTGTTATTGTCCCCGAAGAAGCCTCTGACATCACATTTGTAACATCAAAAATAATTATGCTCCATGGAAATGTAGGTCTTCCTTAGCAAGAATTCATCTGCTGTAAAGAAAGGCAACTGTGTGGTATCTCGGACGTTTCAGGGCATGTGTGGGATAGGAAGTTTCTTTGTCTGACCACTTCTCAGTAGAACCATCCCTTCCATTTTGCAAATAACTGTAATTCACTAGATGTGAATTCAAGTGTATCCTCAATTCACAGGGCATGGGCTGTCTGTTTAGCTTGGTTTATATTTACATTTTTTCGACTTTATCTTAACTTGTCAGTTTCCCAGATTGAAGAACATGTCAAGTTCGTTTTTTCTACTGACTGATTTCTCTACTCCCCAGTGTTTTTTGTCACTGGTTTGCTGAAACAGTATTTATATAGCTCCACTGGCTCTAAAGCTCTTATCCTTCTAACGTTTTGGATTTTACAAATGAAATGAAAATAGAAAAGAAATAGAGACAATCAAATGCCTGGAGCTTAAAACAAAGTATGTGCAACCTACCATCTCACTTGAAATTTAATAAAAGAAATAATTATGTAAATATAACATAGAGTTATAGATTTATATTTTGTTCATAACACATAGTGTAATATAAGTTGTATATTTTCATGTTTTGGTTTTATGTTATCATTCATGCCACAATAAATGAAAAAAAACAGGAGTTGATGTACTCTTTAAAAAAAATACAATGTGGATTGCCACCATCCTGGGTTTTTGGTTTTGGTTTTTGGGTTTTTGTTTCTTTTGCATTCCCCTTTTTCAGTATTACTGCCCTGCAAGGCACCAATAAAACAGCAAATGTGTTCTTTACCTATCCTGTGGTCTGTTTCCCACTTACTATAGCAAAGTGTGTGCTAGCAAACTTTCCTGTCAAGAGAACAAAACAGCTGGGCTCAAGCAGCAGAAAATGAGATTTAGATTCAGCTTACCAGTCTGCTCTGAGATTCAAGATTTTCATCAAATCACAGGACAAAAAGATCACCCCATCTTTC